AGACAGGCTAGATGTGGCTTCTCTTTTTCTTTGCCCTAGGCACACATATTTGTAGGAGGAGCTAAGGTGGGAGGAGTAAGGAGAGGAAGAGTCGGGAGAGGAAAAGAAAAAAGGAAGAGGAGGAGCTAGAGAATGCAGAGATGTAGGAGGATGGAGAACCATGCAGGTATGGAGAACATTCATGGGGAACAACTTATAATTAGGTTAGCTAATTGGGATACAACTCTCTTTGTATGGGCATCTTATTATTAATAATTACCAAACATATAAAGCCTTTGATTCATCTATAAGAATTAGAGTCTCGTTCTCTTACCGGGCCCAGCATGGATGGTGGAATGGTCTGGGCAATGCCCAGCCTTGTGGAGACAGCATGGAAGATTGCCAGAGTCATCTCCCATGCTGACGTCTTGTGGGTGGCAGGGCTGGTGTTTCTGGCTGGCCGTTTCTAGCTGCAATGTGCACGTGGCCTCTGGCCACACAACATGACAACTGAGCTAGGCAGAGTCACAGCTTAGATAGTTAGCTTGAACCAGAGGGTGATTTTAAATATTTGCTACAACAAAGTGGTGACTAATGTCTGGCATAAATTCACTAGAAATTTAAGTCTATTTCACTGAGAGGAAAAGTTGTATTTTTTAAAGAAAGTGAGTGAGTGATTGACACTGATATTCTCATTGATGTTAAATAAAAACCTTGAGCTAAGATTCATCACCAAGTTGATACTGACAAGCAACACTAAGCTCTTCTTCAGAAACCCCTTAAGCTTGTTATCCTTACTGTAGCTGGCCTGCTTCGGGTGTTACTAGAACCACACTGAAAGTTGTGTTTAGTGGAGACCATCTACAACCAGGCTGGGGATGTTGTAACATTTCCTCCCTCCCAAGCCACTGCTGACTGTTTCTTCCTGCTGTGTTCTATCCTCTGCCATACTCTCTTGGTTCTCTTGTTTTGTTTTTTTCTCTTTTCTCTCTCTCCCAGGTTTCTAATAGAGGCTCTTGCAGGGTCAATGGCATAATGTAATGGCTTACCTCCTATTTGATTTCACCCCAGGTCCCTTTAGGGATACAGCATTATTGCAGCCCAGGCTTGTAGCACCACAGGCTAATGGATCAATTCGGTCTTCAAAGTATCCTATGGCCTGTCAATATAAAATTCTAGCAATTACTGAAGTGGGAAGGCTAGGAAGTGGCTGAAAAACATTCCCTATTGATTGGCTCATTCATTGCTCTAGTGTATGATGAACTTGTTTAAGAAAAATTGATCTGACACATTGATTTTTTTTTTAAATCAGAGAATCTCATGAATGCAATTTAAGTCACAACATTTCTTGCTTTGAAGAATGTTTTTTTTCTTCTTTTTTTTTCTTTTTTCTTCTTTTTCCCTGCAAGGAACATCTGTGAAGCAAGACAGCCACTGAGAGTCTGAGTCCTAGACCTAGCCCACCCTACTGCTGTTTCAGGAAATGTTTCTTGTCACAAGAAACATTTCAGTGTTGAATTTCTTCTCTCCATTTTATACATATCAGTCTTCTTACGAGCTTTCATCATCAACTCCCTCTTTCCCCCTGATTTACCCTTCAACTCAGAATTTGTGGTTTTCAGTTAAAGCTCACACTGACTAATTTAGCAGATACATTTTCATTTATTATATGTGGAACAAGCTTTGGAAAGTGTGACTCTGAATTATCAAAGGCAGTTCTGTCATTTGATGTAACCAGGAACAACTTGAACAATGGAGACAGATTAGAGACAAAAGCACTCTCTGGACAGTGAACATGTACAGCATGTGTTTGGGCAGCTATTCTGTCAAAATTATTGCCAAATTATTTTTGAAAATATATTTAATAATTTTATTTTTGTAAAAGTATCGATACTTACCATATGATAACTATATATAACATTTAAATATTATATATATATATATGTGTGTGTGTGTGTGTGCATGTGTGTGTGTGTGTGTGTGTGTCTGTCTGTCTGTCTGTCTGACATCTGACCACTGGATTAGGATACCTTTCGCAGCCTGGTTGTGTCATTCATGGATTGTACACAATTGAATCTTGCCTACTTTATAAATTATCTTCTTCTACCTCATCTCTAATAGGATGACTCCTTCATTTTCCCCTAATTTGACCTACATTAGCCTGTGGAATAGATCAGATTCTAGAAATAGATGATGATCAGCTTCATATCAGGAGTTTTTCAAACTATAAATTCTTGGCCATTATATAAGAAATCTGAGACAGATTCAGAGCATGAAACCTGGGTAAAGGATAGGAGAAAAAGATTGATGTCCTCATCCAGAGCCCAAAATACAAATTTTAAAATTCAATATAAAAACTCAAAAGAAAGGGTCAAAAGAAAACATTTCTTCTATTTTCCTAAATTCTGTAGATGGGGCTCTTTAAAGAGACAAAAGATAAACAAGAGAAACATGAATATTATAACAAAGAGAATGCCCAGCAGTGTAAGGTGCTCAATGATCTGAAAGATCTGATTATAACATGGGTATTATCTAGCATTCTAGAAATGATCAGTGAGTATACAGAGAAGCTTCAGGACAAAGGTGAGGTATTTTGCCTTTTATGGCTAGCAAACTACAATGAAATAAATAGGAAAGAAGACTTACTTTAGTGAGGTTTCTTGTGCCTTCTTTGGTCTGATTAGAGACTACAGTGATTCAGGGCCTCTAAGACTTTTCTCAGATAGCCAGGGGTATTATCTTAAAAATGAAAATCTCTATACTAGCATGTATAGAAAGCTTTGATGGCATTATTTGCTATTGCTCAGCTGTTTCAGTTAAAAATAATCTTTCTGCTAAAATGCTGTTTTGGTGGTGGTATATTCCAACCTCCTATGGCATCCTGAATTGGGATATGTTCTCGAAGAACAAACAGCGAGATACAGTTAGTTACTATTCATACTAATATAAAGTAAGAGACAAAAGACAGGACAGCTTCAACTGAAGTATATGCTGAGGGTACAAGAAATGCATCTGGCTCATTTTAGAATTAGCTTTAAAAGAGCAGCATAGCAGGACTTCAACCTTGCACATGAACGGAAAAGGAGATGGAACCCAAGCTTGTAGAACTGTCTCAAACTAAAGGCTGCTCTTCTGTCTCTCAGACCAGACTTTGTTGGCTATGTGGGTAGCAAACCAGAACTACCCCAGGCCGTTAGCAAAGGCCTCAAGAACTGTGTCTTGTGTCCTTTATAACTTTTATACATCTTACAGAGAATATTCTCCAGTGGTTGAAGGGAAACATGGATTATCTGTGCCAGAACCTATCTAAGAAGTCTATATACTAGAAAACTTTATCACATTACCTTCAGACCTGTTTCCAAGGGTGAGATATTTAATCAGGATTGCTGCATGTTCAGTGAGTTTGTATTAACTGAGAGATGGGTAAAAAGAATGAAAGTTGTTTAGACTGGAGATGTACCATGGGCTTGGAAAATAATCTAAGTTTTAGAGTATTCCAGGAAATTCCACTTTCAACCATTTAATTGTCCCCTGTTGTTCTCTTTCCCCTGGGCTTCTGCAAGGATGACTGAAGAGTTTGTCACTCTAGTCCCAGACTTCCTTGTAGTTTGTTGATTACCTGAGAGCTTTTCTGAGTTGCTTCCAGAGAGCTTCCTTTCTCTGGGAGTAGTCCTGGCTGTTCCTGTGCTTTCTTGTGGATTCTAAACTGTGTCTAGTCTATGGTTCTAAGCTTATTCAGATGTGAAGGTAACAAATTGTAATTTTGCCAAAATATGAAATATTTCAGTGTTCTGTTTCTATGCTTGGGGATTTCTGAAGATGACAGAGCACAACAGAGAAAAGAGGAGAAGCTGTTTGTTAAATATTTAATGAAAGCGAAGGCCTTCTGTTTCAAGTTCCTTCTGAGATAGTGTGTGGTTCTCTTAATGCTCAGCTCTGCTTTCAATAAAATTGTTAATTATAGATCCTAATAAGCTGTTAGGAGCAAAACACACACAGAATTTGAAAGTGAAATGAGGCACAGTACATAGATAAAGCAATTGTTTGCTTAAGAGGTGATTAACAGCCACAAAACAAGCAAACTGATACTTGAACCTGAGAGACATGATGCCCATGTGGGATTGCTCCACTCATTGGAGCCTAGTGCAAAGGTAGATGTCTGCTGCTGTCGGCAGTTTTTCTGTGCTTGATGAAGGGAGAGCAAGGTCTATGCCATCTTACAACAAAGATGATATTAAAAGAATAGGTTGTCAGAAGGACTAAAGAAAGGGAAGCATCTCGATTTCTCAGAGGAGCACAGCTGAGATTTAAACTGCTCTGAGCTGTGACAAATTATAAGGCTTTAAAACCACTACAGTCACTGAATGAACAAAACAGTTGCCTGGGGTAATTATGCCTTTTGGTCTCTTTTACTTTCAAGTTATTTCCCTTTGTGAATGTTACACTCCCACACTGAATGTGCTAGGGCAGTGTTAATCTCAATGTGGAAAATTGAGATACCTTTCAGATTAAGCAAGCTTAGAAATGCAGTTCAGAGCAGGTCACACACTAGCACTACTAATGTTTCACCAAGACACCTGATGACAACCGGTCCTACGAAAATGGGTGGGTCTTGGACTTTGTCCTCTGTTTTCCATGAAACGATTGCTTGAATGAGCAGGTTTCGTGATTCCGTGGGGTTCAATGTTGGAGTTCCCAGAGCAGAAACCTTGTCTTGAAAAGGTAACAGTTAAGTAACTGTATAAATAGTCATGATACTTGGTTAGATTGCACCACTCAAATAGGACTGAGGCTAACCAGAATAACTTGGCTTTTAACTTTATTTTGCTAGCAGTGTATTTGATCTTGAAGTCTTTTGATTGGTAAAGGTGGGCAAGGTCCTATTGTTAGTTGGTATTTACCAGATACAGACTAATTAAGAGCCTGCCAATGTCCCAGTCCTTGGTATCCACCAGACCCAAAGGGTGGTGATATAGCATCATGCTGCCCAGCAACTCAACTAAGTACTGTCATCTTTGCAGATTTCCAAGATGCAAGTCTTAATCTGGTGACCTGAGTGACAAAGAGAAAATGGGCAACTTAGGTACCACCACTACAGAAGCTTTCAGGATTCCTGTGCTGCCTGCAATAAGAAACAGAGGATAACTTCTGGCCTCTTTGAAGAAAATGTCAATGTGATTGGTGCATGAAGCTTTGTTAATAGTAACAGCCAATACACACTGGGTGTATGAACCAGGTTTCGTTCTTGTCACTGTGTTTCTTCCTTTTTTTTTTTTTATTGGATGTTTTAGTTACATTTCATATGTTGTCCCCTTACCCCATCCCCCACCCACCCAGGAACCCCCAATCCCCTCACACCTCCTCCTTCTTCTTTGTGGATGTAACCTCTATCTACCCCCCCACTCCCACCTCCCCACCCTCAAAACTCCCACCCCCTGGGGCGTCCAGCCTTCATGAGGTCAAGGATCTCATCTTCCACCTGTGCCCAGCAGGGCCCTCCACTCTTATATATTCAGCTAAGGCCCTGGATCCCTCCATAAGTGCTCCCAGGCTGGTGGTTTAGACCCTGGGAGCTGTGGTTGGTTGGTATTGTTGCTCTCCTCATGGGGCCACGAATCCTTTCAGCTCCTTCAGTCTTCACTCTAACTCCTCCATTGAGAACCCCATGATCACTTCAATGTCTAGTTGTGAGCATCTGCCTCTGAATATGTCAGACTCTTGAAGACCTCTGAGGAGACATCCATATCAGGCTCTTATCAGCATGCACTTCCTGACTTCCACATCAGCATCTACCTTTGGTGACTGCACATGGGATGGATACTCAGGTGGAAAGGTCTTCAGACGGCCCCTCCTTCAGTTTTTGTCCCTCGCTTTGTCTCCATATTTGCTCCCTTGAGTATTTTGTTGCTCCTTCTAAGAAGGACCGAATCACCCCCACTTGGTCTTCATTCTTTATGGACTTCATGTGGCCTGTGAGTTGCATCTTGGGCATTTTAAGGTTCTGGGCTAATATCCAATAATCAGTGAGTGAATACCATGTGTGTTCTTTTGTGATTGGCTTACCTCACTCAGGATGATAATTTCTAGTTCCATCCATTTACCTAGGAACCTCTCAAATTCATTGTTTTTAATAGCTGAGTAATACTCCATTGTGTAAATATACCACATTTTTTTAATCCATTCCTCAGTTGAAGGACATCTGGGTTCTTTCCAGCTCCTGGCTATTATAAATAAGGCTGCTATGAACATAGTTGAGCATATGTCCTTATTATATGTTCGAGCACCTTCTGGGTATATGCCTAGGAGTGGTATAGCTGGATCCTCGGGTAATGCTATGTCCAATTTTCTGAGGAACCGCCACACTGATTTCCAAAGTGGTTGCACCATCTTGCAGTCCCACCAACAATGGAGGAGTGTTCCTCTTTCTCCACACCCTCGCCAGCATCTACTATCACCTGAGTTTTTAATCTTAGCCATTCTGACTGGTGTGAGATGGAATCTCAGGGTTGTTTTGATTTGCATTTCCCTGATGACTAAGGATGCCGAGCATTTCTTTAGGTGCTTCTCGGCCATTCGAGTTTCTTCTGTTGAAAATTCTTTGTTAAGCTCTATACCCCATTTTTTAATAGGGTAATTTGGTTGTCTGGAGTCTAATTTCTTGAGTTCTTTGTATATATTGGATATTAGCCCTCTATCAGATGAAGGATTGGTAAAGATCTTTTCCCAATTTGTTGGTTGTCGTTTTGTCCTATTGACAGTGTCCTTTGCCTTACAGAAACTTTGCAATTTTATGAAGTCCCATTTGTCAATTCTCGATCTTAGAGCATATGCCATTGGAGTTCTGTTCAGGAACTTTTCCCCTGTGCCCAAGTATTCGAGGCTTTTCCCCACCTTCTCTTCTATTAGTTTCAGTGTATCTGGTTTTATGTGGAGGTCCTTTATCCACTTAGATTTGAGCTTTGTACAAGGGGATAAGAATGGATCAATTTTCATTCTTCTACATGTTGTCCTCCAGTTGAACCAGCACCATTTGTTGAAAATGCTGTCCTTTTTCCACTGGACAGTTTTAGCTCCTTTGTCAAAGATCAAGTGACCATAGGAGTGTGGGTTCATTTCTGGGTCTTCAATTCTATTCCATTGATCTTCCTGCCTGTCTGTGTACCAATACCAGGTAGTTTTTATCACTATTGCTCTGTAGTACAGCTTGAGGTCAGGGATGGTGATTCCTCCCGAAGTTCTTTTATTGTTGAGAATAGTTTTCGCTATCCTAGGTTTTTTGTTATTCCATATGAATTTGAGAATTTCCTTTTCTAACTCTGTGAAGAATTGAGTTGGGATTTTAATGGGAATTGCATTGAATCTGTAGATTGCTTTTGGCAAGATGGCCATTTTTATTATATTAATCCTGCCAATCCATGAGCATGGGAGATCTTTCCATCTTCTGAGATCTTCTTCAATTTCTTTCTTCAGAGACTTGAAGTTCTTGTCATACAGGTCTTTCACTTGCTTGGTTAGATTCACACCAAGGTATTTTATATTATTTGCAACTATTGTGAAGGGTGTCATTTCCCTAATTTCTTTTTCAGTCTGTTTATCTTTCATGTAGAGGAAGGCTACTGATTTGTTTGAGTTACTTGACCTTTTTCCCTTACTGCTTTTAGTATTTTTTCTTTGTTTTGTGCATCTGATGTTTTGATTATTATGTGACGGGAGGTATTTCTTTTCTGGTCTAGTCTATTTGGTGTTCTGTAGGCTTCTTGTATGTTTATGGGCATCTTGTTCTTTAGGTTAGGGAAATTTTCCTCAATGATTTTGTTGAAGATATTTACTGGCCCTTTAAGTTGGGAATCTTCATTCTCATCTATACCTATTATCCTTAGGTTTGGTCTTCTCATTGTGTCCTGAATTTCCTGGATGTTTTGAGTTAGGAGTTTTTTGCTTTTTTCATTTTCTTTGACAACTGTGTCAATATTTTCCACCGTATCTTCTGCATTTGAGATTCTCTCTTCTATCTCTTGTATTCGGTTGGTGATGCTTGCGTCTGTGACTCCTGATCTCTTTCTTAGGTTTTCTATCTCCATGGTTGTCTCCCTTTGAACTTTCTTTATTGTTTCTATTTCCAGTTTCAGATCCTGAATGTTTTTGTTTAATTCCTTCTTTGTGTTTTCTTGCATTTCTTTAAGGGATTTCTGTGATTCCTCTTTAAGGGCTTCTATCTGTTTACTTGTACTCTCCTGTATTTCTTTAAGGGAGTTACTTAATTCCTTCTTATAATCCTCTATCATCATCATGAGAAGTGATTTTAATTCTGAATCCTGCTTTTCAGGTGTGAAGGGGTGTTCAGGGCTTGCTATATTGGGAGAACTGGGCACTGATGATGCCAAGAAACTTTGGGTTCTGTTGCTTATGTTCTTGCGCTTGCCTTTCGCCATCTGGGTAACTCTAGTGGTACCTGCCCATTGCTTATTGCAGAGCTCCTCGGAGTCCAGAGGTCTCTGTGGTTTTATGCCCCTAATCTCCCGGGTGGAAGAACTCCTGGGACTCAGGCCACCTCTTGGATCTGGTAATCCTTCTGTTCTGAGTGCAGTGGCTCCTCGGCTGCTCTGAGTGCAGTGGGTTCTCGATGACTCAGGATTCAGTTTCAGCTGCTCTGAGTGCAGTGGCTCCTAGATGACTCAGGATTCAGTTTCTCCACAGGACAGGAGCAGACCAACTCTGTGTCAGCTGCTCTGAGTGCAGTGGCTCCAGCTGCTCTGAGTGCAGTGGGTCCCTGATGACTCAGAATTCAGTTTCAGCTGCTCTGAGTGTAGTGGTTTCTCGATGACTCAGGTACAGGCTTTCACCCTTCTCATATCTTACTAAAGAGGAAATGAGGACAGAGGGTGGTCAGCCATCTTGCCACATAAATTATGGAGCTGGATAAGCAGTCTAACCCCTGACAAGTTGCTCATTGACTTCTAAGTTATGTGGAGGCAAATACTTAAATCCTTCCTTCTCTCTGTTCTCTTAAACTCTCTGGAGTGACAATGAGGCATGGTTTACTCCTTTTTTCTCCTCTAGTCTGGCTTCTCCCAGCCTTAGATCAAGGTGAGGATAACCAAGTATTGTGATACTTGTCTATTCTCCCTCAGAGGCCTCCAATCTCTGCTAGAGGGTGAATCTTAATCCGATATGGTGTCTTCCTGTGTTTTGGTTTGTAAAGTGCTAAGATTTATGACCTGGCTCAGGAGTGCAGTCCTTAAGAGACCTAAGCACCAAGTAACTTGTAACTACCTCAGATGATGTCATAATGAATCCTGTCACACGGACTGAAGATGAGGCTCCTGCTGGCTATAAACAATACAATAGACCAGGGATTTCTAAAACCAAGGAAGACTGCAGCTGGGTCAGGTAATACAAGTCAAAAGCAGGGAGAGGATGTTAAGTTTGAGAGGGTTCCAGATAGATATTACAGAGGCTGAGGATCCTACACATGTGATTGGACTTTCAAATTGATGGAGGTGATGGATTGGGAAGTTTATGCTTTGTACGTAGTCTAACTGACCAGATTCAATACTAAGTATATACTAGGCTTTTGTGGGATTGGTAAGTCAAGGCACACAAGATTATCATCCTCTGAAGTTTAACACTTTGATATAAATGCTCCAGTGTACCCTGAATCTCTGCTACCATAACATAAGGATCTGGCCTTGTTTGCACAGAAGACAATTTCCTGTTTGGTTTTCTTTTCAGTGTGTTTCTATGATTATTTTTGAGTCCACTTTTGCTTCATTCTGCTTCTTCCTGTTACTAATGAGGCACTCTGGGTTAAAGCTAGTGACATCTAAGGGCCTCTGAGAGCAGCACAAAAAACTGAAGGTCTGTCTACACAAGAGTCCCATGACACTGACCATTTATCTGATGACCACATGGGCCTAATAAACAAAGCAAATATGTCCTGTTTGCCCTCCCTCTGTGGCTTTTGGGCCTCTGCAATTGCATTTCCCTCGACAGTTAGCAACAACCAAAACTTGTCTTCATTACAGTTCTGACTCATAACACAATTAATGCAATGAAGTGATACGTGGTCCCCAGGCCCAGCTATCTTTTGAAAACAACCCAAGCCTGTTCAGAACAGTAATGGATGGTGCTCAGGAGAGGATGACTCAAATATCTTGTGCTAGACAAGGGTGTGGGGCAAAAAATAGTGTGTTGTGTTAATTCTAAGTGTGTGTGTGCGTGTGGTTTGTCTC